TATTTTGGATCTTAAATATGGTGACTGAGTTTTTCTTTCAGAATCAGTTATAACTACAAGGTTTACTGGTAAACTGGCTGCATATAGTTTCACACTGGCATGCTTACTGATTCCAACACACTAGGCAAAAGTAACCATAGTATTTTTGTTATGCTGCAGTTGGTGGTCAAATGTGCAGCAGTGTAATGGTCAAAACCCAAGTGCAGTTTTCAGTGCACTATTTAAGATGGTAAGGAAATGACTATAGGCGTTGGAATCAGGAGATTTGATGGGAAATGATGCAGGCTGGTAACTGGTCAGTGTGTTAAGAACAAGGCTCTCAGCTAAGAATTAAAAGGGGGATGCAGGGGAGCCAAACCAGAAAGAAAGGGTTACAAAAAAAGGAAGAAAAGATGGGAAACAAAACGGGAGAAAAGAAAAATATGATCAAGACTATTAGGGAAAAATAAACACAAAACTACTGTATCGCAGTGCAGGGAAACAGGGAAGCAGGGAAGCGACGTTTCGCAGAGAGATTGAGGCTCTAATGAAAGAAGGATGATACAGCCGTTCGAAGAAATTTAAACAGGGCTTCTAATGAATGAGATTGGGAACTACAGTAGATCGGGAGCCTGATTGTAAAAAGGGTTGGTTTAATTGAACGTCTTCCCGATCTATTTTAACGGGAGGCTGGGAACTCGTGGGAATGTTGCTGTTGCCAGAGGCAACATCAGGACGCGAGTTGGACCCGGCCCAGGCACGCCAATTTAAAAAAGAAATCAAATAAAGTTGGTTATATCCATTTTCTTTTTTTTTCCTGAAATGATCAATAATGAGTTTTGTTACCTAGCACTGCTTACCATTTCTCCACCAAGCACATCAAATGCTGGAGGGTCAAAGAAGAATCAGAAGTTTTCATGAAGTTCACATTGATGATGTGATTCACAAAACAGTGTTTACCATTGACGCAAGGCAGTAATGAATCATACAATGAAGGGTGAGGGGGAAAATCTTTTCACACATAATTAGCAGAAATTTTCACCCTTTGCTTTTACAATGAAAGCACTTTTTGTTCATCCCAAAGGCTCATGCATTCAGTAAAGAGTAGAGGGGGTCATGTTAACAAATGTTCTGGGAAGCGTAGAATTGAAAGACTATTACTACACTGTGTATTACACCCACACAGTGTAAAGAATAGTTTTTGACAAAAACCTTTATTTAACCTTTATTTTTTACAAAAACCTTTATTATTTTATATAGTACATCCTAATAGTGCTTTCGTTCCCATGCATTGCATTTAAATTCAACTTGACCAAATAATTATTAATGTCTTTTTATGGTTTGATTAATAAGATGACAATCCAGTGTTATTAACACATTTTTTTATTTCTGCTGCTAGGTACACAAGACATATCGCGAAGACAAACACATTGGAGAAAATTCACAGTCAGGTACAAATCTTAATAGATACTTGATGTGATCCATCACAGGATGCACCAACTTTAATTAGGTTCAGTGCATTTTAAAGTATTATTATTATTCAACAGACTGTTCATGCATGTTTGGTCAAGGGAGAAAGGCTTTGACATTTCTTATCTAGATTTTTACAGAGTCTCTGATGAGATAAAAATTGGGCACTGTCAATATAGTACTTCTTTTCCCTGCAATTAATGGCAGCAGTACTGTAATACTTGTCTTGTACTTGTAGATACTGATCCAAAATAATAAAAGTACTGACTTTAAGGAACAAGTAGCTTTCAGATTAGGCATGAAAACGTGTTAATAATGAATAAAGATCTGGATAGATACAGCTCAATGCTATGCAAATGTCTGCTGTGCATTTTGCTGCCTTCTACTCCTTTCGATTGATGTTTTTTCTTCTTTATGCAGACATGCAATTCTATGATGATCAACAGAAGTTTTAGGTATTTTGTTTTGGATTACAGTAGCAGTTAATCCTGATACTGTACATCTGCTGTGTGTATTGCACAATGTAGCCTCTTAAATGTATGGATCTGTAGATGTATTTGATTTCCAGATCCCTCCAATCTCCAAAGAACCTAGACAGTCCTACATTCTCCCATGTTGTGGATCCTGGTCTTTTGGTGTTCTTTCTTGTCTGGAAAGGAGAGCACAGTGGTTCTGAAGTCAGGGACATTCAGAAGGACCCTGGTTGAATCCTAACAAAAACAGAGCTGAACGAATGATATTAATGACAAGGAATACCTTACAATCAACTATACTGATACGTGTGATGGATATTACCATACTTCATATTGGCTACTCAAGGTTAATTGTTTATGCATAGTTCAAGCTGCTGTCATCACATTTTTTGGAAATTCTGATCAATGTGAATTAAAGATTGCTAAATGACAGGCTTGTTTCCTTAATAGCAGATAATGTCTTTATAATAGAAAATACCAGTGGAGGGTTTGAGTAAATTGTCGATATCCATAACACACTTATTTTGAAACATGTAATTATTGTCATTGATAGTAATTACAATCTGTAATACTGTAAACATACTGCCTTTTTTTCTACATTTTTAACACTGCAGTGAATGTAATTCTGATTCATTCCCACTACATCAACTATTGATAAATCTGTTGGTGAGGTAATGTCTCACTTCTTCACTGCTGTGCAGTGGGATTGCTGGGCATAATGACAGTCAAGCATCTCTCACTTCAGTGGGTCCTCTTCTAGCAAAAGTAATAAACTACTTTTGAATATTTTGGAATGAAAAGAGCTCTATAAATCTATGGAATAATAATAAGGAGGTGTTTCAGGTATACTAGCATATAGCTGTTTATTCGTAAAACATAAATGTCTGAGCCAAGGACAAGGTAGGATTTTGAACTACAGTAAGGCAGCATGAAATATACTGTCAAAGATCAAAATGCATTCGCTTTCTGGGGATTTCAGTATTCTCTGGTGCACAAAGCATGTGTATTGATAAATAACTTTGAAAAAGACGGTTTAAGTCTCCTTAATTATGATGGACTGGCATAATATCCGGGGTGAAATCTGCCTTGAGTCCATTGCATGCCAGGATAGGCTCCGCCTCCTGCTTGACCCTGAATTGGATGAAGCAGTTAGAAAATGGATGGGTGGATTGTCCTCAATTATGACTAAGTTCTTCCATCTAAAGAGATGTAGTTTATCTCTAATACAGTCAGGCATGAGGAGAGGTGCACTTCCCAAATGTTTTGGGACATATCCACTGTATAAAAGGATTTATCTTAACCTACTACATATTAAGAAGTTCAAGAAGATAACTGCATCAGCATGCGTAGCTGCAAAGGAACAGGTAAAGGTTTATTCCATGCTGAAAGAAAAAGAAAAAGGAAAGAGAGAAAACATTTCAGCTGTGGAGCCTTCTTCATTTCTTTTTCTTTCCCTTTCTGCCTGGAAAAAACCTTTACCTGTCCCTACTGCATATTAGATATGTTGTGTTTATGCTAACGGGACAACAGCTCTATAAAAGAGAAGGAAAGAAGTAGAAAAAAATGACAAAACAGCTAAAGAATGCTTATTGATTCTAGGGTAACTTTATAGGAAGGCCTTGATATTGTAAAGTTCAGTTCGTAAGCAGTGAAACTGCAGCTGCTTCCTCCAGTTGTGAATGGTACTAGGGTGAAGATATTTTAGTGTATCCCAGCAGAAAGAGTAATTCATATTTGTGCCCTTCCTTCTAGAATCTCAGTCTCTCAGGCACAAGGACAGGAGGAAAGAATCAGTTGATGTGAGGTCCATAACTTCCCGAGGCAGTGATGGTATGGAAAAACAGACAGCGATTTGCAGATTCTCAGTTTTCGCTGTAACATTCACAAGCACTGACGTCTGTGGAGTAATTATGTTCTTCAAGAATGGAGACTGCAGGAACTGTAAAGGCAATGAGTCAGCCACATTATGACTGGAATGCAGGTGAAGCCTCAGAGATGTAGGTTGTGATGACATCATCAGGCATCCTTGACGCAGCTCTGGTTATTTTAAGACTTTCTGTTTGTCAAAGCCAGTGATATATTCACGCTTCAGCACATACAGGGACATGTGGAGTTGTTTCATTTCATCTTCACATATCCTTTTACATCATTAGGCTTAGATTCTAGTTTTCCTGATTAAAAATGTATGGTAGAGCATTTCTAACACATTGTATGATGTAATATGCTATACAAGAAATAACTATAAATTATAAGACTAGCTGACATTTTTGCATTTGAAATTGCTTGATATAATTCTTGAGAAATGTTTAATTGGAAAATACCAAAAATGTTTAATTACTTTTTATTTCAAGTTACTTCATAAGATGTTCATGTTTAATGTGACCATTGTTATAATATTGTTTCATGTTTTAATTTTTGTGTTTACTTTCAAAGCCCCGAGTTTACAAAACCGGAGGTATTCATCTATGGCCAGGATCCATTCTATGACCATAGAGGCCCCTATCACAAAGGTAAGAATTTGAGCAGTAAGTATAAGAACTCCACAAAACCAATTCAAGAACATTTCAGTATTTTAGGATGAATCTGAGACCCATATTAATTCTGCGATGCAGCTCAATAATTAAATAAAATTAATGACATATGAGTTGTACACTTTTAATGGGGAATTTTAACTTTTCAAACTTAATAGCAAATTTAACATGAAATTTTACCTTTTAAACAGTGGTTTGAGTTCAGTCTTTTGTGTAATTTGTTCTGCACTTCCCATGTATCATTATTCCAGCAGTTCAGTATTTCTTTTCACTCTGGAGAGTGACAGTACATGTAACAGCCTACATAACACTGCAATTAACAGCTGACACCACGAAACAACCACACCGGGAGTGTGTTTCTAAGAATGTTTTATGCCACATCTGCTTTCTTTTTTAGGTTATAAATATCATCAATTCTGCCCAAGAAAACAGTCCTGTTACAGTGGCGGAGGCCTTGGACAGGGTTTTAGAAATCCTGCGAACTACAGAGCTGTACTCACCCCAGCTAGGCTCTAAAGATGATGACCCCCATACCAACGACCTTGTTGGGGGACTCATGAGCGTACGTGAGAAGAAGCATGGATCTGAATGTTGATTCTAGGCAGTAATAAAAAAAATCAGTTTTGTATTACTGAAATGCTGTTTATTTTCCTATTAGGTAGCATTACAGAAGCTTTAGTTGTAAAAATCCCCTTATTGCACTTGTCTAATGTCTGCAAGTTATGCCAGTACTAATGCCTTACAACGTTTTTGGCACCTTCAATTAAGGTAGAGTTTTGCTGGTCTCTGTTCACTGTTAGGGCTGTTTATAGGGTCCTATTTTTGATTAACCACAGAGATCTCTAACTGAGTATAAACATCCATACCTGTTTAGTACTGCCATGAACAAATAAAGCTTAAGGCAAAAATTCCTCCCTTCACAATTTACAGTTTTGTCTTATTAATACTGTATTTACTACATGTAGCTCCATCAGGTTAGTCATGTTAATGTGATACGGACATGACAAGATGCAGGCAAATGTTGGTCAATGCTTCCCCATATATACTGTAGTCGAGAAGAGTCATTTTTTTGTTGGTTTGTGCTCTTGTTGTTTTGGAGTTGGGACTATCTCCTTGCAGTTTGTTTTGCCGACTGAGTTACAATGTATCTGTACTGCACACAGGTAAGGAATTATTATTGTGAACAATAACCTGAGTCTTGTCACTCAAGAGATGTCTCAGTGCCAGTCAAGCCAGGATTTCTAAAGTATCATAAACAAAAATACTGTTTTAACATGAGTGTATTTTCCACTTGTTGAGAAAAGGTGTGCCTGTATTACACTTTGTTGTGAAATTCATACACATAGCAAATAAAAAAGGGAAATCTGCCATATTACATTTGTGCATTTAACATTTTGAAAAGCTGCTTAAGCTGCAGGTTTATCTGTTGTAGGATGGTTTACGAAGACTTTCTGGGAATGAGTATGTCTTCTCAAAAAGTAAGTAAATCTTTCCTCCTAACTGAATTATAAAAAAATATTAAAAACATTCTATTTCTTACGTAATATCACTATACTGTAAGTGCAACATTTATTTTTTTAAAGGAGCTCTAATTGTGTAATATTTTGTATCAAGGGGTATTCTGTGGAAAGGAACTACAATTATTATCCCCAAATGTTTGAAAATGAAAGTCGGCTAAAAATGTCTGTGTTTAAGATTAACATAAACAAATACATTTTTCATGCATGAAAAATTCAAACATCATGCAATATAATTCCTATACAGTCATGACAGAAATTCACAAACAGTTTACAAGTTATGAAAAACAAAACCTGTAAATATTATGATTCAAACAAAAAATGACAAATGTTTGTACAGTACTGGACAGTACAACTACGAGATCAGTCTTGTTGCACAACTGTTATTCAACACAGGACATCTTGTTACTGTACATCTTGCTCAAGAAAAAATAATAATTCTACTGTTTTCAAACCCTCCTTAATCATTTGTCCTCAAGTATACACAGTGCATTCGTGTATCCTGCATGAAACCTTGTTTTGTTTTTTTCTGAATAATAATGAGATTATACTGTATTGTCATTAAGCCCTATTATTAAGTCAGCAGGATATTCGGAGGAGCAGCAGTGCGCCTTCAATAGATTCAACACTATTGTTACTTTTTATTATAGCAGCAAACTTTACTGCAGTAAAATCACATAATTCATTGAGAATTGGTAATCTGATAAAGTGTTTTTTAAAATACGTTGTGGAGAAAATTCCCACTGGGGACCTTTGCATATGAACATACGTGATATACAATTGACAAAAATGTGATCCAGGATGGTTCTTAGCTTTATTGAATGGCTCACAATAAAACATTCACACCTTTGAAGAAACTAGTTACTGACTTAGTTACTGACTACACTAACTGAAGAACCTTCCTAGAAAATGGCAAAACAGTTGGTATATTACTTTTTCATAACACCTTGGACAAATAGTTGGATTGTATGAGTTAAAAAATTAAACTTTTGAAAGCCTGCTTTGTTTCCAGCAGTCATAACAAATGTTTAACTGCAAACAAATGTTGGGAGCCAGGGTAATTTAAAGAATTTCTTGAGAACAATAAGACATGAAGTCTCAAGTTCACTTTCAGCTGAAGTCCAGAGAACTTCATGGACCTTTAAATCTTAATTTAAGTTTCAATCATGCTGATGATCAGTACTGTCCATGGGCTGAGAGTCACTTGTCGTCTCTTTTGCTGTGTTTCTCTTTAGACATGACTCACAGTAATAGCCACCTGGTCATGCCAGTCACCCTCAATGATATCCCTCCCCGGATAGCAGAGCTACTGGATGATGAAGAGCAGTGGGACTTCAACATATTTGAATTAGAAGCTGCCACTCACAAAAGGTGGGAGCAAATCTGAGCCCTTAGATACTGTGGAGAGAAATGGCACTCTTCCATTGATCCAAAGCTAACTGCCCAATGCGTATTGTACTGCCCCAGTGTCAGTCAAACCTGCTATTAACTCAGCAAGTAATCTGCTGTTTTTTGCTAGTCAAATGCTCTGTAAATCAAATTTTTGTGCCTTATTATCATTTGTATTAAAAGAATATTAGGAAAGCAACTGACATCAGTTTAAAATTGTTCAAATACTCATTTTTTCGTGTTTTTTGTATGACCATCCTAAAGTTTTAAAAACATGTCTTGTGGCATCTTACAATTCCAGCAAATGATTCAATACAAGGCATTTTGGTAAATGTACTTTGCTCAGAAAAACAACTGTATATAAATACTAATAATCCACCCATTATCGACGGGTGGAAGGCAGGACACACCCAGTCCATCACAGGGCTCGCACAGAAACAGACACATACTCAGACCAGGGCTAATTTTCCTAGAAGTCAATTGACCCACCAGTATGTGTTTGGATTGTGGGAGAAAACTAGAGCTCCCAGAGGAAACCCATGTGAACATAAGGAGAACATACAAACTCCAAGCACCCCAGGTCAGGAATTGAGGCAGGGTCCCAGCAGTGCGAGACAGTAATGCCAACCACTGTTCTACCATGCTGCCTCCAAATAGATCTTATTTAAAAAAAATATACATACTCTAGGCAAATATTTTCTATTTGCAGTATCAAAAGCATATTTGAAACTCTCACACTGAAAAAAACTTTCTATGTTTTAAGCCATTACAAATATGAACCATTATGTTATTATGCTTGCTAACAGCTGCAGGTATAAAAAAAAGATTTAGTCAGTGATATCTTTCCTGTTTTGTTAGAACACAATTTTCCTAAACAGAAGAGTGAAGAAGCCACTTATGCGTGTTGGTATAACAGCAGGTAGTGCTGTTGTTAAGCAGTCTTTTCCTAAACTACAGATCTGATTCAGGCTGGAAAAGCTCCTAAGCGTGGCTGTAGTAGTTGGAGCCACCTTTCCCTATATATAGGTGGTGATTAAATCATAATCAGTTTAAAAAAATCGAAAGATTTTATTTGCATGTGAGGCTTGTAAAGAGACACTGATGTCAACATTTTTAAAGGTTGAGTGCCTCAGCCAGTAAAGATACTCTGGATGTTTCCCAAGACCAGCCATGGTCAGTACACACCTGGGTCTTTCCCTTAGCTAGCCTCTACAGACATTAATGTGGCAGTATCGCAGAGCATCCCACTAGGGCACAGTGGGATGTCAGAGGCTCAGGCACCCCTCAGCTTTTGCTAACAAAATCTCTGGAGCTTACAGAGGCGTGAGGGAGAGGAGCCCCTCTCCTCCGGTCACTATTAAGTCTACCCAGCAGGTCTACCCAGGAGCTGGCAAAGTGTCAAAGTGGTTGACAAACAGTGTCAGTGTCTTGTGTCAGACAGGCCAGCCTGGTGCCTGCTCATCCTCGTTCATGTTACAAGAGTTATTTCTGGAAAAACCCATGGCTAAACAATTGGTTGGAAATGGCATCACAAAGCTAGCGGGAAAACCAGCTAGTAACATATCACAATTAGAAAGACATTTTTTTGCTGGCCAGAGAAGAGGTTATTTCTATATATGTGGGTACCAGTTCTTAAAGCTTGATAAAGGTAACAGGTGAATTATTGAGATTTTGTCCCAAACTGCATCTGGAGTAGTACAAAGAGCTTTAAGCATCAGGACAAACAAGACATTTTTATTTGATTTGCAGACCCCTTACCTACCTTGGATTGAAAATCTTTGCCCGGTTTGGCGTGTGCGAATTCCTGGACTGCACCGAAGCAACAATGAGATCGTGGCTGCAAGTCATAGAGGCCAACTATCATGCGTCCAACTCCTACCACAACTCTACTCACGCAGCTGATGTCCTCCACGCGACTGCTTATTTCCTCCGAAAGGAGAGAGTAAAGGTAGGTGCAATCAAGGATGACTGGCAAAACACACTGACCTAAAGAGATCAGCATTTTATTATTATTATATCTATTGTTGATTGATGATGATAACAGTAAAAGAAGCTGTTATGGTACTAATAATTTGTTATTCAATGGGTCACATTACATCCACCACTGAAGTGCTGCTCCCACTTGGGTTCATTTCTGCTGTAAGCTTGTGATTTAGAAGAATGTTAACCCTGTGCTCGCTACTGTCTCAGTACGCTGCTCTGTTATGGCTTTCAGGGCAGTCTAGACCAGCTGGATGAAGTGGCGGCTTTGATAGCAGCAACAGTGCATGACGTAGACCACCCTGGACGCACCAACTCTTTCCTGTGCAACGCGGGCAGTGAGTTGGCTATCCTCTACAATGACACAGCAGTGCTGGAGAGCCACCACACCGCACTGGCCTTCCAGCTGACAGCACGGGACAGCAAGTGTAACATCTTCAAGAACACTGAGAGGTGCCTCGACTTGACTTTCATCACCCCGGTATTGCCTGGTGACCCCCACTGTGCGTTGATCAGGAAAACTGCAAAGCACTGGTGGTCTTGGCCGGGTTATTGCCTTTTTAGTGGTATCTGATCATGGGCTACAAAATGTGTTGGAAGAGAAGAGCTGTTGATGATCTAATACTGGCGCCTTCCACTAATCTTGTTTCTCCTCATCGAATGCAGAGAAAACATGCTAGAGCCTGAAGAGATATTTTCTTATGATCTGACCTGCAAATTAATTAGGCATGCCCCTGTAGGCAGATTGCTCAAGTATTGTATGCTGTGGAGATGCAATAAATATTATATATCATGATAGATCGAGATTTTGTGCTATTTGTTTTTGATGTAGGACACAATTTCGGACATTGCGGCAAGCAATTATTGACATGGTCCTGGCCACAGAGATGACAAGACACTTTGAGCATGTGAACAAGTTTGTTAACAGCATCAACAAGCCCATGGCAGCGATAGATGAATCCAGTTCCAACGTAAGCTTCCATTAAGTTCTTTCTGATTTTCATTCTGTCTCAATAGGTTTACATAGTTAGAATGATTTGATTAACATTGTTGCATTATCCTTACACATTTCATTAATGATAAAAGCATTTAAACAGTGTAATCTGTAAAACCAGTACTGATACAAGTCAGTTTAGAAATAAAATTAATTGAAGGCATTACTTCTGGTTTTGAAAAGGTGCTGATTATACAATGTATAATACAATGTTTTGTCATTCAGGTGTGTATATGTCTTTAAAATAGAGAATCTGGTTAGTAATTGTATTCTTCTTTCACAACTACAAGGTATGAATTGCATCTGTAATTACAAGTCTATCCAGAGACTGCATTTATTCCATATTTAATTCATAAGGTAATCCTGCACTAAAAAGAACACAGATTATACTGAAATGTACCATGAAAGGACAATTCAAATATATATTTTACTTCTAAAGATTAATAGAAACACCTTGATTTGAAACACACTAATAATTTTGAAAGTATTCATTTATACTTAAATTCAGTATATTTTACGATTATAGTGTTAAATATGTCACATACATTCATATATAGATTCAGATTTGCCCTGATTAGACATTTACATGTATATTTTTCATATTATTTTGTAGTGTAATTCACTATATTCTCATTGTCATCATAAAAACGAATCAGGAAATGCAACAGTTCACTCTAATGGATTTAATCAAATATTTTAAACAGGAAAAGAATTGATCAAATCACAGAAACTGCAAATAAATATGTGGATATATTTTAACTACTGTAAATGCAATACGATGTGTGAAATTTAACACCCTGACAAAATGTGAACACTGCAAAGTTAGTATTGAATGTGATTTTCCTGAGCATTAACACAATCCTGCAGAAATTGGATAGACTACTGTGCAATGTTCTGACATTCAAATACACTTACCATTTATTTCTTAAAATGCCATTGTAATCCTAGCACTTGCTTGGACTGCCTGTCTTGCATTGTCCTGCTAGGAGATCAACACTTCATATTGGCTGACAGGAATGAAAAAGCTTTTTTCTCAACTATTGTCAAAGTATCACAGAGCTGCAGGTTTGACTTCAGCATAGACTAAAGGCAATCTTATGTTAAAGTGAGATTCAACACCACTGTGTTACACATCCACTGCCAATTGGCTTGAGGGCCCAGTGAACATTCAGTGCTCAGCATTCCATGTCTAAAATACACATCCTGTTTCTTTAAATTCATCTTCCACCCTGGAAAGGCAAACAATTGTTTATCAGATGCCTGTGGTGCAGTGTAGTGTATCAGATACTGTGATTTTAAAATGCTATTAAAAGGTTGTTTCATTTTCAGATTTCCACATATATATATTATTTATTTTTAATTTAAGATAAAGTTTCACGAACTATACTGTTATTTAGTCCCAAATGATTTTGCTAACTTTACTTTGTTTTATGCCCTTGCTCATTTGTGAAGTCTTCAATGATATTGAGAAGTACCTTATCAGGAATGGTTCTTCTTAGTTACGGCTGCGTTTGTGCGATTTTTGACTCTCCCCGATGAACTTGTCTCTCTGTCACAGAGTGAAGGCAGTGACTGCGAATGTCCAGCCAGTATAAAGAACTCTCCGGAGAACCGTCTGCTCATCAAGCGCATGATGATCAAGTGTGCCGACGTAGCCAATCCCTGCAGGCCTCTGGAGCTCTGCATTGAATGGGCAGGCAGAATCTCGGAGGAGTACTTTGCACAGGTAACAATATTAACACAACTGAATGTGTGAGCATGGAATTTCAGAGGAATTGTCTGACCGGGGAATCTGCCTGTTCAAGAAGATGACTCTTTACATAATTTCACTGGTATAAGAAATACACCTCTGATTGAAATATTCAACACTGATATCATGTTATAGAAAACAATATGTAATACAACAAGCTTTGGACATGACTCCGTTTCAGCCTTGTCATCGGTAAACAGGTGAACTGTTGCTTTATATTGTTGCTTAAAGTAACATCAAAGGGGACATGTTAACTAGCAGAACAGTAACTGAGTGCCAGATGTCATATCAGGCTGCTGCACTTTTGCCCCTATGAATCCCCTGTTCACACACAGGGGAGAATGAGGAAGTGTAGGCTGACTCCTCTGGCCTGCCCACCTTTGAGCGTTTTGTTTTCTAGCATGTTACTGTAGCAGAGGTTCAGCGCCAATTGGAAGAAAGGCATGTCCCTCACAAGCAGCTCCACATTCTGTGTAGAGCCCCCAAGACTGCTGGGGCCACTGTGTTGCTAAGAACTAAGAGTCAAGAGAGCCCTGCCAAATAATCTCACTCCACCTTTGGGGACATGCAGCCAGCTGTGTACTGCAGCCTGGGCAATCCTGATCACAATTAGCTAGTGACAAGGCCCAGGCCTGAACCCGTGATCATACAGCTCTGCACTTGGGCAAGCACCTTTAAAGACTGAATCGGGAGATTCTTATTACATTATATTTATTCATCAAAATATATCATCCATCCATTTTCTAACTGCTTCTTCCAATTCAGGGTTGTGGGGAGCCAGAGTCTATCACAGCAAGGAATAGGCACAAGGCAGGATACACCCCGGATGGGATACCAGTCCATCGCAGGCTGCACACAGATACCAAACTCATACTCACACCAGGGCCAGTTTTCCAAGTTTTCCAAGAAGAAAATTTACAGTATTTCAGGGCAGGATGGTGGTCAGTTGTTAGCATTTCTACCTTGCAGCATTGGGCCCCTGGGTTCAGTTCTGGACCTTGGGTGCTATATGCATGGAGTTTTTGTGTTCCATGTTCCATTCATGTTCACGTGGATTTTTTCTGTGTGCTGTTTTTATCCAACAGTTCAAAGACGTACTGGTAGGTTAATTGGCTCCTGGAAAAATTTGCCCAGATATGAGTGTGTGTGTGCCTGTTGCCTGCCAGGATAGGCTCCAACATCCCTGCAACCATGTACTAATAAAGCAGTTAGAAAACATATGGATGGATCTACAATATTTCATTAATGCTTAAGGTTAAAATGTCCTGTATTTTATCATTCAATTTAACTTGAGTTTTTATATTTGCGTCTTTTTTTAAATTATGTAAAATATATGAGGATGTGTGTGGTTCTTTAAAATTTTCTTTCTATAACTGCAGTATTGATACCACCAGTTGCAGTTGAAAGAACAATTACCTTTGTTGGAGTGAGCCTGTATTTTAAAGTGAATTTGCCTTAAGTCTAGGCCGTGACAGTTTAGAAGATGTGTCACAAAATGTTCAGCTTCTGCTACCACTTTTACAAGGAAAACAAACCTGTAAAGATTTTATAGGATTTATAGGGCTGTCATGTGAGCAGCAGTCTTTCAAAACCTCTATTAACTTCAGTCACTCTCTTCTCCAAATTTGATGAGATTGTGTTTTAATGGATATTGAAGTAGGATGTGAGACATGAGTATTAGTTCAGTACATTGCAGTGGACACCTCTACTCACTAAGGTCTTCCAGATGTAACGTCAGTCCAAGAGATTAGACAAATAGCTTTTTAATGATATATCTATAACAACTGTCATGATCCTCACTGCTGAATGTCAAATGTTTTGAGTAAAGAAAGTAAAATACTCTGTGATTGATGACTGTTTTTCAGACTGATGAAGAGAAGAGACAAGGGCTGCCTGTAGTAATGCCAGTCTTTGATCGAAATACTTGCAGCATTCCAAAGTCTCAGATCTCATTTATTGACTATTTCATAACAGACATGTTTGATGCATGGGATGGTAAGTATGGACAAGGATGGACAAGAGCCCACAACTGGTCCTTTGAGTTTATTGCACCTTATAAAATGGATAAACCCAAAATGTTTCTATTCCTAGCTTTAAAATGTGTAGCTTCTAACTGGATAGCAGATAAATGATCTATGATCCAGTAGTGGTATAACGCTGTTTTACTGAGGTTATCTTGTTAGAAAAAAATATATAATCTGGGTTCCCCTTTTCACATAAAGTGGACCTACTCTGTCTTTTATTTTACTATTGTTTCTCCCTCCTTGTTGCATCCCATTTGTATTGAAGTATGAGCGATAAGGAAAATGGTTATTGCAGTTTTTGCAAAAAAAAAATGAACATTAAAAAATCTTGCAAAACTAACATTAGTTTAAATAACCCTGTATCTAGTTTGTGTTGAGTGTCAGTGAGCTGCATTGTGGTGTAACCTAATTGAACTATACATTCCGTTCCCTTATCAACTAATCTGATCATTGCGAGAAAATTGGTGCTATCAAACAAAAATAAGTCCAAAAGTCCATAACTAGACTGGTCTTGAATGTGTTGTAAAATCTACTTTAGACGGTTTTGGAGGCAATAAATTGGCAGGTGTTTGTTTATTTGTAAAATATAATGCAAGTGACATGTACAAAATAAACAAGAAACTTGCATTAAAGGAGCTCAATGCAATTAAAATGGGCCAGCAAAGCTGAACCTGTCAAAAAAAAACAGTAACTGGAGCTGTGATGATTTAACAGTGACTCCATATACCAGGTCAATCTGCAGCTGGGCTGAAAGAGAGAAAATAGTTTTAGCAGGAATTTTCATTAAATATCTTTAAAAGGTCAGAGGAAAAAACCCTGTCCCCATTGAAACCATATCTTCAAGAAAATAATACACAGTCCAGAATACATGGTGTTTAAATTAATATATTGTATTATAAAGCAAAATCATACTAAGAAAACATAAGAACACAGCAAATGTTTGTGTTTCACTGAGTATAATTGAGCATGGAGAACTTTCTTTTCTTCTACAGTGAGTCTAACTTTTGTAAGTGATTTTTCTTTCCCCTCTCCCCTCAACAATGATTCTGACCCAGCTTTTGAAGCTACAGTACATTAGATAAATTTCTGAAGTTCTAGGTCATTGGATAAAGCTATAAAATAACTCTGGAAGATAAACTCCCTCTTTGCATTTACTCCAGAGAACAAATTTGTTTACTGCCAACGCAACATTGATGTCATGGAAAGTCTAAAAAAAGAAAGGCCAGAAAAAGAGATCAGGATGTCATGGGTTTCTATAGTGTGCTAGGGACCACTGAAGCAGAATACCATCACAATAATATCTAATCCAAGATCACTGTCAGGTCAAACAGATGTTAAGGTCATTACACATTTCCTTTTGGAATTTGATGGTCTTAAATGTACAGTATGGTACAAAATGTGTAGTCAACACAAAAAATTAACAAAGAAGTTCTCAAAGTGACATAAAAGAGACTCATTTCCAGATTCTGCAAGTGAACACAGCACAAACCTATCAATCAAAGCAACTTGAAGTAATGCAGAAACCGATCAACTAAATACTTTGCATAAACTTGGCCATACTCATTGGCTTTTGGATGACTTTGTTGTTGTTTTTTTGCAATTTCTGTCCATTTTAGCCTTTGCCAATCTGCCTGGCTTGATGCAGAACCTGGCAGAGAACTACAAATACTGGAAAACCCTGGATGAAATGAAATGTAAGAGCCTGCGACACCCTCCAGACCTCTGACACTGTGGGTAAAGGCAAGATCTTGAATGTAGCCCTTCAATCTTACAATCCTCATCACTGTGATTTTTTTTTATGAAGACAAAACAAAAGAAGCAAGCAAAAATGAAGGACCTAAAGATTTTCAGTAAGAAAGTGGGCTTGAAGACAAAAACTAGTCGAGGTTTCTCTCCTGACAATCTTTTGTGGTTTAAAAGCGTGAATATATTCAATACGCACTTTATAGAACGGGAGTTCATTTTGTTGTTTATGTGTTTATTCTCTTTGTTACAACAATATCCATTTAGTATACGTCCCAACTGTTTATATTAAAAAGCTTCCTAGCTGACATTGAACGACTGTCTCATTGTGCAAGTTCAGAGCTCTGTGACTGTTTGCACCTTGGGGTGGGATGACATGGTTTAAGTGATCGGAACGAAAGGTTTGGTTTTAATTGAAAGTACTGTAGGAAATACCATTTCCGACTTAAAACCCAGAGTAAAGCATCTCAAAACGTGTGCAAAAACACAGGAGACAGTTTGAAACATTCATTAGGTGCAATTCACTTTTCAAATAATATTAGGAAGCTGCATTTCATTTCTATTTAAAGGTTTAACTCTAGTAAGCAATTAATAATGAGCAATTTTACACTCTGTGAACATGAAAAAGAATGAAAAAGGATAGCTTAAATACTTTATTTCAGTTACAAAAGATAAGTCAACAGTTACAAAATCTGAATTTTTGTAATATACTTTACTGTATTTGAGGATTCCTTGGCTAGACCTTAACAACCTTAGAAGAAACCCTCTTCGGTACCCAACTGTCTGGAATTCTTTTTTTTCTAAGAAATGTAGGTATTTTGATATATTTAATTTTCATATTGAATGTAACTGACAGAGAAATATCTTTGTATAATATTTAAAAGCAGGAATATTATTTCATAGGTGTTTTTGGCCATGAGGAAATGTTGTTTTCATAATTATGTTTCCACAAAGACATCCAACTGCTTGTTAGACACCATGGTAATACCTAACCTGTATGTGAAGTTAACAGGATACCATAGGATGCTAGGTACTGTATATGGCAGGTTTATTTTTTTTTCCTCTCTCTTAACATCTTAATGTATGTACTGTATTTCACTTATTTGCCCCAAGTATTTGCAGAAGGCAGGGTTATTAACACAGATCTTATTCAAACAGTACATTGCAAAACATTTAAACACTCAGACTAGAAGAGGAGGAAAGGCATTCCTTTTTATCTTTTTAACTAAATGAAATCAGAAACAAACACGGTAGACTACAACTTTAAAACCTGTTTTTATAACCATCCAGCGGACAAATTTAAATGTAGCTGCAGACAAAGGACAGTGACACAAAACATTTTCAATACCAACTTCTGAAAGTTGCACTTCTCTTTTGCGATTTCATCTCTACCAGCTAAAAATGTATATTTGAAATGCTCTTCTTATTCAACACTTAATGTTTGTAAGGTTTCTCTACAGAGCAGTTCAAATACTAGGTAATGTGTTTCTGTACAGACACTAAAGAGGATGTGTTTCCTGAGCACTTACAGGAGTCTAGACAGAAAATTTGCAAATACCCCAAGCGTTTTTATTTTACTGAATGGAAATCTGAAAAATGTATTACTGGCATTACTAATTAATATTTACAAGAAAGCAGAAGATTGCTTTTACTATTTTAAGTTCATTTTTAAATTGCAAAATAATCATGTTCTGAATACTTCAAAAGCTAGAATGTGAAAACTATTTTAATACAAGAGTGTGTAATTTAATCTAAATAAATTATTTGGAGATTATTATTTTATTTAAACACCATTCAGATATTAAGTTAAGCAGTTACACATAGTTGCAAAACTGTGCTAACTATTGCCCATGGCTATAGATAGCAGAAGATCAAATGAGGAGGAGATGCATAATATATTCTGCTCTTCAGAACAGATATAAGCTTTAGCTGTCAGGCTTAGATGGTTATGGGTTTATATATGAATTTTGGCAACATAATATGATGCCAAGTGTTATTTTTTTCAGAATGGTATGGGTTGCATCAAAGTAGAATCAATCCTGGCCTGGAATCAAGAGTAGTTGTCCAAAAACATTTTTCGCCAGCATTAAACCACCTGTTTCATGGTCCCTGATGAAAGACTTTACAAATGAATAAGTTTGGGTTTGACTGCCTTATTGCTTCCTGTGTTAAACAGGCTACTATTTTATAAGCATCTTTTAATTTTAAGCTCAGGGCTGGTCCATATGAAATCCTGATCACCTCTCCTTTGGTATGGCATTATAGATGAAATCGGTAGTAGCAGGAGTTGATGGGTTGAGCTGGGTTTTCTTTTTTTAAGTTTTGTGTGAAAGCAATTATGTTATACCTATGTGATTTATTGCTAGCCATGCTGGTGTTTTGCCGATTTAGCAAGTTAAATTGCAAGTTTACTATCTCTGCCTGGGCAGTGCTCCAGACACATTTTTTTTATCTGAAGATCCAAAATACCCCAGGCCAAAAACGTGGGTGCCAAATCCTGTTGTTGTGTGCTAAAGTATGCCATTTGTGGGATCCAAGGGCACTGGCATGATTTGTTGACAGGGGGTCTCCATCCCTCTTTTTTTACTTTCCCTTTCTAGAGTGATTGCCTTTTGTTGGTACACTCATGTGTTTGTGAGAAGGCAAAGGCACTAATTTTGAACTCTGGGCGCCAATGGCAACAAGCCTCAGACAAAACAGTTGCATTTGCGCCAGATTTAGTTGTAGTCTGGAGCACTTCCCGATGACAAAATAAGCCATTGTAAATCAGTAAAACCAGCTGGGGGAATCTTAACACATTATTCTTAAATTTACATCTGTTCAACCTGTACTCACATTATTACAACAGCCTTACTGGTTTCTGTGCTAGAATAAAGCCATAAATCAGCGGTAAGGTGTAATGTGTAAGCAGCCTTAGGCCTCGTATGGAAGAAGAATTTCCTAGAGGAACAGGGTTACAATAAGAGACTACCTGTGACTAACTTAACGTGCCTTTTTGGCAGCTTCAGTCATTAAAAGGAAGCGTTTATGTACTAATTATATGTACTGTACAGTATATGAACTAAATGGTACAAATCCAGGACAGGTATTACATGTATACTGATTTTGTTTTCTTATACATGCAAGTGAATTTAATTTGCTAACATTGAAATCTGCTGTTTGTAGTTTGCTTATATTGACTAATTCTACAAGGTTTGTACAAAGGGACTATAATATACATTTTATTTAGAATGTTACACTATGTATTATACAATAATGGTAAGGCTGACATAACTACAAGGTTCTGGTTATAGTATGTACTGTGCACAAGTATTTCGAGTACATTGTACTCCAGCCGTAGTAGTAATACATTAATACAGTTATTGCTGACAAGCACACATTACGTTCAATATTGTCTGAAAGAGTAAGGGCCAGAAACTGATCTTAAATCGGTCTTATTGTAGATGAACACATATGAACTGAGGACTCATTAATACTGAGAATCTAAAACAGCACAGATAGTTTTAATACAGGCAGACGGAACAAAAAACTCAATGGTAAAGTCCCCCTTTATCTGCTATAGTGATGACAGGTTGTCTCCTAATATCAAGGGACTTTTTAAAAATCATTATTTAATGTTATTATGGTGTCTCTGAGAGTATGTTTAAATATGTAATATTGCCACCACAAAATGTTAAGTATTTTTGTGTGCACAGTACATCATTAACAGCATTAAGAAAATTCTCTTGTGTTGTTTCCATTTTCTAAATGTGCTTTCATCCAGTATATGTTAAATATAAGGTCTTGATACCTATAGAAAGATATACCATTCCAAATGTTGTAGCTTTTTTAAGAGAAGATTGTGCATTGTTATCCAAAGACAGGTTATACTTTTTATACTTTTAATTATTTGCATTACATTATTCACCAAAAAAGGCATCACAAAACATGGTGTATGTTAAAAGTCTGGATGTGAACATTTTTCATGTGTTGTGTCAGCAATGTAGTCACAGAGTCAAATAGATGAATAGACGCAATACAGAATGAATGGCCAAATAGACTATTTTGGTCATGGTGATGACATGACTGCTGTGCACTTTAGTTTGTTGGGGATAGACCCAGATTTGTATACTGTATGTTGAGGTTACAGAGAATGGCCCATTTAAAATATCTCTGAAAAACATTTTGACCAAAGTTGGAGAGACTTACATTTGTTGCCTTATTACAGTCGCTTGCTTTCCTCTGACAGGGTCAACTAAATTAATTCATAGCAGAAATACACAGCACATAAGCCATATTGCAATAACTCTTTTACCTGGACCTCCAAGATCCATTCCCAGGTTTGAAGTGGGCGGTGCATGCGTAGATTTTTTTAACCTGAACATTCTTTTGCATTAAAAAAAAATCAGGATAAATGTTTCTTTCTTCAAAATATAAAATAGAGCACCCAAAAACAACGCTTCAATGTGCAATCAAATATTGAAAAGATTTTTAAAAGCACAAATATTAAGAAAAACATTTTAACTTATGAAATAGCAAGATAATTCCATGGAAACTGATCAGTACTTACGAAAATGTTTCACCCTTGAAGGTACCACAAGTGCTATTCAGATGAGGTAATGTAAAATAAATGGACCTACTGAATGTTTTTTTTTATGGTATTGTCAATATTTCTCAATTACAACTGTCACATAATTATAGTTTTGGTACACTATCTAGATGTTTTGAAACTATTGCTAAAAAATTTAAAATTCTGAAGAGCAGAATGAAAAAATATAAAAACTGAAAGCCCAATATTGTTACAAAATAGTCAACTGCAGCCATCTCAGTGCTAAATATTTTTTGGGGGAGAAAAACTCTTCTGTTTGTCATAACCCACACAGGGACACAATAATATCTTGGGTGTAGCTTCATTTAGAGGGAAACTAATATTCATTTATAGCCATTGGCATCTTTTGTTGTAGGAGAGCTAACAGGAAATTTATTTTATTCAATAAGAAGTTCACGCCACACAAAATATAATCTGATCATTCATGTTTGGTGTGCATCAGCCTTTAAACCCAGTTGTTTACTCATATATAGCAAATAACCTTTTGGTAACAGCACTGGTTATTAGTGCGAATAATCTCTTACTCAAGGGAGCTTCAGTCTCTACTGCAGTTATAAACTATTCTGCTACATGAAACTGACAAGCATTCAGGATGTATTATTTAATCACATTTTTTTAATCTTAAGAGGAAAACAATAGATTACATCAATAAAAGTGAGAGCTCAGGACAAACAGAAAACACAAGTACCTGCAGCTATTAGGAATGAGGTGCCAGCTGCACTTCCAATGTTTCTATAAATACAGTATGGTCTAGAAAAACACCCGTTGGTAAGGTTCATTCTGTATTGGAAAACTGTGAAGGATGCCCTAATCAGTTTGCCTGTTTAGAGCAGAATTTTCAAACTATTGTTTAAATGTTGTTTTAGAGCATGTTTCACTGCAGGTACAGACAATGTGCCAATGCATTTTCTGTAGGTTTTATATAATGTATAATTTAGTAACTGTATTATCAACAGAAGCTCCAAGGCTGAATTGTATATAAGCTCTATTTTTAATAGACTCATCTTTATCATGGACTGAACAAATACAACACTGTATAATAATTTTAAATTGTGTATTTTTGAAGAATTTTATTGTTTGTACAAAAATAAGTATATACATAAATGGCTTTTCGGTCCAAAGTTGTATTCCACATTCCCCTTACATGATTGTGCAAATATCTTTTAAATATCTTATTTCTGTACTCATTGTCTGTCAGTTTTCTGCCTTATTTTTTATGTTCTTCTGTTATCACTTTTACTTTTAAGAAGTTGTATTTGTGAATCAAAATAAAACTCTTGCAGTAATATGACTGGCTAATAGTTTTAACATCTTTTATAGCATTGTGTAGGATAGAAATAATTTAATTTGTTTTCAGGAATCAAGAACAAAATCAGTTATCAACCCCAAGGAACCTTCTTAGGTTACAAGCATAGAAAAAGAATGGTCTCAAAATTCATCCTGAACATAATGGTTTTTTAATCAAGCTTTTGGGTTTAAAGCACTATGTGCTCCCAGTTTATTGAAAACAGTTTTAAACGATTCAAAGGTGCATCTATTTTGAAACAATTATGGAAAGGATGAATATTAATTACTTCAAATACAAAAGAAACTGATTTTTTTAAAATCCTGCTTTCCATGTTTTATTAGTCTCACAATACCATCATTTTATTTTCAAATGAGTACAATTTAAACGTTCATATTTAATATTCATATATTAAATATTATTCATATTTTAACATCTACACCACACATTTCACACTTTTCTAGCTGGATTTCAAGCACAAACCAATTTAAACATAATCAATGAGAAATCTGTAATTATGAATCCACTACCATAATGTTTGCAATAACATTGTAGTATTTATTTGTTCTTCATATGGGTTCGGAGGAACAAATGCAATGGAATTTATGTGCAGAAAATGGAACTGCTCTTTATTGTACCTCCAGAAAGCATTACATCGCCACCTAGTGGTACCACAAGTCATAACACATATCCACACTTTCTCCCACATGATGAAAGCTAGTGGCCTATCCCACATACCCACACTAGTCCATACCTTTAGGTTAGGAGGGTTTATAGACCCAAAATCACACAGAAGGCTACTTTAACACTTTATAAGTGTTAAATGACCACTCATGGATTTTCACAAGACAGCACCAGACTTTCTACGAGGATACTGCAGCCAGGCCCCTAGAGCATAGGTTCTATTATTGATTGATTGAATTGGTTTTATCTTGCTCCAACCTCCGTCAAACCTCTGAGTGAAAGCTGTTCTATAGGCCTGACCCACTGAGCCCCAGACTCCTGGAGGTTAGAAGTCACGGTTGAAATCCACTGCTCTGAGTCTTATATTATTAAAATATTTGGACATTCCAGAGTCCAAACAGAGAGCCAGCATGGCAGCGTTTATACTGCACTCTGCTGCCTCCTCTTTGGTCCCCATCTCAATGCAAAGAGGATGTTCTTTCTATGCAGTGCTTCAGTAAGTTGGAGATGGGACTGGTTTCTTGTAAAGTCACCAAATGCGTGGATGCTTTCATCACTTTGAAATAAATGGAGCACACTTCATTCATACGAACACCTTTTTTTGCACCTTAAAGTGAGCATGCAGTGATAGTGATAGGAATGAAAACACTGGGAACTAGGAGCTCATTTCACCTAAGACCCTGATCTGACATTTGAAAGCTTCACAAAACCCAACTATGCCATCAGCTTCTTTATAGCAGAACAGCCTGAAAAACTCACCAACCGCCATTGCGGATACTGCCACATTCATGCAAATTCATACAAATATCAACCAAATATCGACTAGGCACTCAAAAACCACCTTGCAGCTCTTCTATCCTAAAACTTCCACTGTGTACTTGTACACAGGCTTAATAATAACATTCAAATGTTCAATCGGCCCACGGGGGTGACACACAAGATGAAGGTCCTGTATGCATTACTTGAATGGGTCAAGTAACATTTGTTATAACTCCTTTATAAACAAAACACAATAAATCAAAGATGCCATACAGCAAAATAAAATCTAACAAACGGACCACTGTAATCAAGTGCATCTGTAGAAAGTCCTTGTCAGCTCTCAAGTCCTCAGTAGCGTCTTCCATTAGTTTCACCATAACCTGGAACTCCACTTTCAGCTTTCAGATGAAAACATGTCTCATTATGAACCATTTATGAAGAAAAGTGTGCTTGTACGGTCATTTGAACAATCGTAATAAAGGATTATGAAAACTGTTATGTCATGCTATGTAGTGTTCATGAATCAGCTTTTATGGTGTTTTTAAGTCTCACTGAAGTAAAATGCTACTGATGACAAACTGGGCGGTGTTCAGTAGTTTAGACTATGGTGCGAGGCTTAAAACAGTCACTCATGCAAAAGGCAGATACAACTACAGGTATGGATGAATAGCGTAGTGGAATTAATCGTAGGATTCATTTCTAGAACAGATACAAAATTAAGAAATAAGACCTTGAGAACTGGCAATCTGTAAACTCTCTTTTTAATAACTTAGTACAGTGTTTCACAAGCTATTGTGTATAGATTCTGCATTCATTACAGATTCCTCGTGAAATATGAATACAAGAAACTATGATATCACATCAAAACGTTAGGCTTCTTAACTTGCAAAACACAACAGTTTAAAATTTCAGTATGCAACCAATGTAAAAGGATGCCAAAAACCAGCTATGCCATCATTACATTTTAATAGCGATAAAATTATAATCACAGCTAAATCAAATCTTAACCCACTGACATTTTCACAGACTTGGACTATACATTTGGCATACGCTACATTATTTCATGTCAGTTATAACACTATTACTTTTTAAATACAGAAATACAATTAACAGTAGAAATAGGCAGCATGCTCTGAGCTACATTTAAGAGCACTTCACAAAAAGAAAGCTGCTCATTACCAATTAGTAAAGTAAAATTGCAGTTTAAGGAAAATAAAGTGTCATGTTTAATGTCATGAATGCAGAATTGTTTTTTCAACCTTTTAGGGGATGTATATTAAACGCAGTGTATGTATGCTTCTATTAGTACATATGGTAAAAGGACAAACAAGGGTCACAGGCCTTGATTCTGCTCCAGTTTGTGAAATAAGGCTAAACTCCGGAGTCTTGACTCCTTGTACCCGTCTCTCCACACAATGATGAGGTGGTCAGTAGAGCAAGTCACCAGGCTGCCATCTCCAAAATACAGAAACATCTACAAAAAAACAAAACGTATTATTTAAAGAGACCCGAATGATTTAGTGACAAAGCTGAGAGAAAAGGATACACATGAGTTTCATGATTCTCTTTCAGGACTGTGATTTTAAATGTTGATGAGAAGTAAGCTGGTGCTCCCATTATGGCAGAATTGTCTTTCCAATAACAGCAAGGGGTGTAGAAACTCGCATTTCATAAATGCCATATGAAAATGGGTATCTGATTAGTTTACCTCCTTCAAAAGCTAAAAAAAACAGAAAATTATAATGAATAATTATAAAGCTACATTTCTAAACATGTCTGCAATTAAGTACAGGTTTAAAATACAGTGAACATTAACCCTGGCCTCAACCATACTTCTGAACACCCATCCACCATACACAGTGTTTATACAGAAAAGTCTATATTGTGCAATTTAAGAAAAAATAAAAATGGCATGCCCTTATTTGTGTTTAAAACAATGGATGTTACACTAACGATATGGTTATTGTATCAATTTCTTTAGAAAGTCTTTCAGCTACATGCCACCATCTTTGCGTTGTGACGTAAATATATGATTTTGAGAACCTCCGTTTCGCAAATATTTCAAATGCCGCAAGATGTTTGGTCCGTATTTGGTGAGTATTTCTGGTGTAAGTTAAATGTTTGTTATTTGCTTTAGTTGAAATTATTCAAATCACAGCCGGGAAATAAAAAAAGCTGTAGCTCCAACACTGTGTCGTTCAATTTAATGAACATTTCTAGCATGGTTGAGTTGACAAGTATGAAATATAGACCTGTGCTGCCCAAGGGCATACATAAGAAGGAGCTGGATTGCAGTGGAAACAGCTTCTAGATGCACCAGAGCCCAGATGGCTCAAGCCAATGTACCCAGTATTAGCAGTTGTATTTTCAGCTGTATGACTGATTTTGCAGAAGCCAGCAGTAACCTACTTCCTCCAGTCAGCAATGTGGCTTCTTCCCACTTGTACCTGAACAGCCCCGGAGTGACCGATGAGGTCTCCTGTCAGCTCCAGAGTGCGCAGGCTGGGGGTCTCCACCACCTTCTTCACCTGCTGACTCGCCAGCTTGCTTGATCTCCCGAACCCCCACATGCCAAAGAAGCCTGAGAGACAATCAATAGACCCATTTAACAACATTACATTCATTTCAACATGAAAAAAAAAATCATTTCAGTTCCGGAGGCTTAACACGACATGAATAAACTATTGCTCGGTGTGAACAGCACGACTTATTGATGCCATTTTAAACACATTTTTTACAGTTGTCTTGCAGTTTTTTAGAACAGACGCTTATCTAGGAATGTGGTTGAATATATAATGCACTCTCCTCCAAAAAACAAGTCGTCTCCGCTAGTCTATGCAGCATGGTGACTACAGTCCACCCCATCAAGGCATCTGTCCAGTGAACAATCGAACAGGAGGAACAATGAAGTCTTTGCTGATGCCGTTTATGATGTGTATTTTCTGCTGGGCTTTTTTTCCGACCCTTCAGAAGGAACGGGGATAAATCAAACCAGAGAGATAAATGCTAGAGCAACTTTTAGCAATCATTATATGAAAACGCTGTAATCCAAAATCATTAGGATAATTCCTCATCTGGAAATAATTCGTATATAGAAGACTGGAGAATGATGACAGTGCAGCTAGCGGTTGCAGCCTCACAGCGAGCTGCAGTGTCCTTGGGTTGTGTGTCAGGCAAGTGCGAGGAGTTTGCATGCTCTCCAGTGGTTAGTGTTTGCCACCCAAATGAGTTCATATTCATGTCTGGCATCCTGTTCAGCGCAGATTCTGCCATGTAACCCTTCACTACTGGGTTAGGTTCCGGATTTCTGTGACTATGTACGGCACTAAGTGGTTACTGAAAATGGATGGATAAAAAGCAGAAAAAGTCTTGGCCCACATGGCAGAAAACCATGTCAACCAAAAGACTGATAATTGCAGCAAACCCACTACTGAGTGAGAATGCTGAATTGAACTTAACTAAAAGACCATATCAAATCTCAGGAACTTCATTTCCTCTGCAAAGCGTACCAGCATCTGGAAATAATTCCTTTTGGTGACATCCCATCTCCACTGTACAAATCCAGCATGATTTAGATGGGAGAAAAAAGCATTCCATCGCCTTGGGAAAGGCGTGTGTTTGCCTGTAATCTCTCAAAGGTATTTAATTTAAGATAGTTATCAGAGATCTGATCAAGACAGATATTTTGGCCAATGTTTTACTCCTTTGATTTGAAAAGGAACACCTGGCCTGCATTACTAAAACACAATCAACAGGAAATGAGGAGCTAAGTACAATGTTCCTGAAAAGGTTTTGAAGTTCTGAAACCTACCAATGAAGCCAGGGGAAGTCTGAAAACCCTCTTTAGAACAGGCTTTGCAACTTAAAGTGAATAAATAAAAACTTTGTTCAATGGTTTCTTTGAAGTAGGAAGAAAAAAAATATCAGAAAAACAATTTTTGTTTTCTTGCTGGATGTGAATGCCAGGTCAAACTTCTAAAAACTCAACATAAAAGAGAAAGTGAATACCACTGTATAGTATGGTGAAGATGTAGTTCATGAAGATATTGACTGAAACCGGAAAATTCATTTAAATATCATCCATAACCTATATTTCACGAGGAAGGAAATATGACATTTTCAAGAAAATGCACTTAGGAAGGTCTATTGAGAAGGACAAAGTTAAAAACTCTACACACAGTGAGGAGGTAACCAAGGGACATCAACAAAGATGGAGATGGTGAGGAGAAGGAATACAGAAAGATGAATGAGAGTATAAGAAGGGCTTACTATGGTGTTCACAGCTTAAGGGAACTGACATCATAAAGGATGACAAGGAGGGCTTGGGTGCCATCATCCCTCCTGAACTTTTGTTAAAAAAACTCTACACATGCTGTATATACAGACAGAAAAGTTCAGCTATTTTGTTCAGTCCAGTACTACATAGACAACACACAAGTAAGTCAGATATGCCTTCTTTGTAAGCATAAACTAAAGGTTTCTAACCCCAAGATAATATGTCCTTACACTTATATAGCGCTTTGCTGGACATTCCACTGAAGCAACTTAACAGGTAATGGGGACTCCCAACCACCACCAATGTGTAGCACCCAGCCAGCTGATGCGACCAGCCAAAGTGCACCAATATGCTCACCACACACCAGCTATCAGCGTGAAGGAGAACAGAGTAATGAAGCCAATTCATAGACGGAGATTTATAGGAGGCCATGATTAGTAAAGGCTAGAGGGAGAAATTTAGCCAGGACACCGAGGTTAACAACAGACAACTGAATGCAACAAACATTATGAAAGCTTACCAAGCAAATACTTGATATGTTAATTGCTTACATATGACTTGCATATAGTATGAATATGTTCATTCGCAGTTTTGTAAAAACTTTAGGCATTTTGCTTTGTCTTACTCAATAGTAGGACTGTATAAGTCCATCACTCTGCAATTGTGCTTGTGGCAAATTAGAATGCTGGAATTCAGCCAATTCGTATTTGGTATAGTTTATTTCCCAATTAATTGCCACACAGCACTTTCGCAATCTTTAATCAGAACGTGACACAGAATGTCCTGCAGGACTCCTTAGTGTAGCCTGGCAAAGGATCCCATGAATGGGAAATGGCCCCGATCTGGAGTGCAGTAAATAAGGCTGTTGATAATGAGGAATCTAACCTGAAGAGGCAGGTTCAGCAGGCAGAGGCAGATCCTGTAGTTCCCACATACGGACACTCCCATCTTCCGAGCACGACATCAGCTGCCTGCCAGCACAGAGAGAAAACATTTTTTTCCCACCGACTTCTGGCCTCACTTTTATAGACATATACAGAAAATCACAAGCAAGCATTTTATAAAGACATAAGCGTAGACAAGGTATTATAATCATAAAAATATACCAAGCATAAAAAAACACTTATAATTACAACAAAGTCATAATACACACAGTACATAACACAAGTACATTTTTATGCTGATTAACTAATCATCAAGAGGACTTATTAACAGGGGATAACAGAGAAGGCTAGTAGCATGTGTGGCCATTGTTGGAAGCAATAATTTACTGCCACAAGCTTTGCAGCAGGTAAAAGATGCTGTCTTGTTGGGTTCTGTCCCATATGCTTTCACAGTCTCCAAGGCCTAGATGCTGGAAGTAGAAATCCATAATCATCCTACAGATTTTCAGTAGAGCTGAGGTCTGGTGAATCAGGTGTCTGCAGCATAATGATTCTCTTATGATGGCAGTATGTCCACCACACAGACCTTCATATGTAGTGAGTTACTGACGCCACGCTTGGGTCTCCACATTGATGGGCCAGTTGTGCATAACCAATGGCACATCTGCACCACACTCCCTGACATCCATCAGAGTGGTCTAAACACAAAACCTAGATTCATCACTATACAGGACTTGGATCCAGTGCTGAAAATTCTGCCCAACTGTAACTTAGGCCAGCCACTTACATATCATTGACATGAAAGCAGTGCTTTTTCGTTAAGTGGGGAATATTAGTTCCTATCAGTTTTTTTGGGCTGGTTTTCATCAAGTTTGACACTCAACGGTCTAAATCGCCTTATCCCCTGTGACCAATCAGCACTCTCACTAATGAGGTGATTTAGTGCTTTTCTAACAAAGTCACTCAAGTGTATCATGGCAAGTCACAATCAATCAATATTATGCCAAGAACATTTAATCAATATTCAAAATCTGTATCTTTTTTTTCTAAAACCATCCAAGCATTAACACAGGGATGAGTTTTGTTTGATGTTCAGTACAGTTACTTTAAAGATGACTGACTAATTATATTGCGTACGGTTAGCTTTTGTTATATTGTGGGTGTTTTGGATGGGAATAAAGATATTATACGAGTACAAAGATCTAATCAAAAGACTTCCAAACCTTTATCAGCATCAGCAATAGATACCATGCATACCAAATTTATCTCAACATTGTGAAGTAGAAAGTCTTACCAAGGATTCTTTTAAAGTACAACACTCTCCTTAAATCTGTTTGTTATGCTAAATAATTTACAGATGTTTCTCTTTTTGGACTGTTCTAATAACAGGATGGTTTCTCCACCTTCTACACTTTGTAAAAAAAAACAAATACAAACCTGTTAGGTAGTAATAAAGAATGTAAAACATTTGAATCATGCGCAGTTCTCCTGTAAGCAACTACATTCTTTGTCAAAATGTTGTAAATGTATAGTCCATTTCCAACCGCAGCAACAACAAACTGCAAAAAAGAAAACAGATCTATCATTAAACAAAAACTCTCCAATAAGCAAAAGGCAAAGGAAAATATATTACTTGTACTAACAAAGGTACTGTGCATGTAGGAAATTGTGCCTGGACTTTTCTACATACAATGTCCTGTAATTGTATTGGGACAACAATACAACTTGCCTTACAGTCAAGGATTTAATCACATATTTGTGATAATGAGGTAGACACAATACACATTTTATTTTGGCCAATTCCATATTACATTTAATCATATTAGAACAACCTGGATAGTTTGAACTGACCAAGAAATGAATTCAAGTACTGCAACATCCTCAATTTAAGTTAATTAAGTTAATTTAAGTGTAAATCTTAGCAATATTTGGTTGGATGCCCCTTTGAAGCAAAAACTTTATGAGTGCTGTGACCCACTGAGCTTACCAAACTCTTTGTTGTTATCATCTGAGATGCTTTGCTGCAGCTACTCAATTCTTGCCTGTTCTTGCTGTGCCCAGACTTCAAATTATTCTCCAAAACGTAAAATGCTCCTCAGTAGAATTTAGATCTAGACATTGACCTGGCCAGTCTAGAAGTTTCCACTTCCTTCTGCTGATGAACTACTTAGTTGCATCGGCAGTATGTCATGTCTTGCTGCATGTGCATAGTAAAGTTCTGCCCAATATGTACAGAAACATTTTCTTTGACATGACGGAATGCTTCTGTAAACTTCAGAATTCATTCTGTTGCTGCCATAATTAGTTATTTACATCCTTAACAGAGACAAGTGAGCCAGGTCCAGATGCAGCCATGAATGCCCAGACCATGACATTACCTCTATCATGCTTCATAAATGAGCTGATGTTCTTTGGAAAATCTGTAGTTTGTTTCTTTCTCCACACTTTAACATTTCCATTACTATGGTAAAGATTTAGCTTGGTCTCATCTATCAATAAAACGGTTCCAAATCTCTCCTGGATCATCTCCAGATGTCTGAGAAAATTCTGATCTGGCCCTCTTTGTTCCTGGTGCTGATGAGAGATTAACATTTTACAGTACAGTTCCTAATTCTGCGGTCTCACTCTTCTGCAAACTATGACATTTGATTCCTTCACCCCTGAACTCTGAAGGTTGTTGGCAATTTCGCTGTAAACTGCTTTCAGGTTTGGTGTTTGCTCTGGGACTGCTCCGATTATTTTTTGGTAATCAGATAGGTCTACATCTGGTAGGTTTTCACCTACAGATGTTTTTTTTCATCTGACTTGATCTTTGCCAATTATTTATTATACCTAAAGTTTCTTTCTTATTCAGAATATTCCACATTATTAATTTTGGTATGCTTTTGGATTTCTGTACTAGAATTCTGCTTAAAATTCTTCAAATTCTTCAAAAAAGCTTCATTTTTCCTTCTGGTTCACAAATGCTTACTTTTGAAGTGCACAGAAGGCACTTTCCATTTCGATTATGGACCCCTGAAGTCAAAGTAATGCAGTTTAAGAAGATGTTCACATCTGTTTTATGAGTGCCAGATTACCCAGAAGCCTAATTACCCAACAAGAGACGTCTGTGAAACAACTGTCCTTAAACTTTTGCACCTTCAAAATAAAAGGGTTCATTGACACAAAAGGGTAGAACTGAACTGACTTTATTAAAAATATAATACTAAGAGCAGTAATTTTCAGCCGTGGATTTTCATGAGAATTTATTAGTGATCGTTTAGTGAAAATCACAGGTTTGTCTTCAATATGGTCCCAGTAGGTTTGGTAGGCACTGTAGTTGTTCACTTAATTAATAATCAACTCTAAATATAAATATAATAGTCATTATGACTGCATTTTAAATATCCTCACCAGTTCTTCCTAATCCCTGTCTAAAGGTATTTATTTTATTACATTGAATGAGCTATTTTCTAACAAGCGTGGGATTGGTATCACTGGAATAGCAAATGTGAAGTTTCGACCATCAGGTGATTTCAAACCACTTGGTCATGGTTCAATTTGGCTATTCTATTCTTTATATCTATTTCTTTCTGTGATCAAAGGGCAGGGGAGACAAACTACAGTCAACTGAAGATGAGCTGAAATATCTTAATGTATCAATAGACATTACAATAGACCTACTGGCTGAAACAGTATAGAATTTCTAAGACTGGTTCTCTATGAGGCTGGTGCACATATTGTATTAACCCGATTTTTATCTAAAAATAAAATTGTGCATTTTAATGGCACAAGAAAAAAAATGTAAAACCAAAGTTGAATGTAAAATTTAAAGTGAGCAAGTTCCTTTTAAAGAAGATGAATTTTTCCATAATCAGATCTTTCAAAGTCAATCTGAAAAATAATGTGCATTCTACATTAAAACTGAATATCCTGCTGTAGTAAAAACATGGAATCAGCCAGAACATTTAAGATAAAAGTCTATAAATGTAATCTTAAATCTATAAGCAAGTACAATTCGTATTACAGTAAAAATAGATTTTAATCTAAATATATATACAGTATAGCTGATGCCTACCTCTCCATCAGATGTTAAGTGCTGTATAGACATTTCATTTTGTTTCTGTGAGGTCAGTTTTATTTCTGGTTGCGAGTCTGTTTGAGCCGTCTCCCAGAAGATCCGCTCATAAACCTGAATGGTCCAGTCCAGAGAATCCCATACTATTAATTCACCAACATGAGATCCACTAGCGAACATCTGGTCTGTGTAGAATGAAGACCGGAATGTTATAAATTCACACAGAGAAAACTTTGTACAGCTCTTATACTGGTCAAATAACATCATTCACTCACAAAGTAGCAATGTGGAAATACTGAATAAACTGGATATTTACAACTACACAAATACATTAAGGAATGTCTGAAGAAGTACAATAAAATCTTTAGTCTTGAGATTACTGTATTATGCTATAATGCCAAAGTGACATTTGTACAATTATTTGATTTCTGATACGTAAATTCGTACAGTTCATAATTTATAACAGGTATGCAAACTAAGGATTCAAACTCCATTGTGATTCCCACAGCCAGACTGGAAGTTAGAACTTAATATGGAAAAAAGGAAACAGTGCATACAACAATGTGATAAAACACAAACTCCTCAAGCATTACTGCACAAATACAGTATGCTGAAAAAAGTATGCTGTATGAGGTACTAACAAAGATAAGGCAAGATTCAAAGAGCCTCTTCATCTTAAAATATTTAATTAATAAAATTAAAGTAATCAAGAAAAAAAGACCTGCTCATCTTACCATTTACAGAAATCAGAGTCCGAACGCTGTCATGGTGGTCTGTTAATCTGCAGATCTCTTGAATAGAAGTTTCAGTTTCAGAAGAAGACACGATCAGTCTGTAAACAACTTTAAAGTGATAAATCATGTTATTATTACATATTTTGACTTCAAGTAACACTGCAAAATATTATAAAAAGTTTAATTAAAAACATAAAAGGAGTGTTTTTTCCCCAAGGACTGTAGTCGTAGCAAAGAAATATGTTAATATCAAATATAGAAATGAATACAATTTTTATCATGAATTGCTATATTTTGGAGGTGTATATACAATTCCCTCCAATTACCGGGACATCAAAACTGCTTTTTTGTTTTCAGTCAAGCAAACTGTGCTCGAGAATATGGAAGTAATATGACAGCAGCAGAGTGAGGGGACAGAAATATTTTGTTTGCATATGTAGAAGAAAATGCTTCCCTGCTTATTAAGCAGTGCTTTACCATGCAGCACGACAGAGACCCAGAATATATGGCCAATGTAACCGAAGAGTTCATCAGGAGAAAAAAAGGTTTGAACTTTTAAAACTAAGCAGAAAAAAAATACTGAAACTAGAACAACACAGGATAGGCAAGAGCTCAGAGTCCGTGTAGAAAAGAATCTCAGATGATTACACAAAGTTTGTTGAGCTTTGTGGATGTCCCAACACGCATGATCACTTGAAATTACCGAGACGAACACAAAGTTTAATTAATAAAATAAATGCATGAAGCTACCCAAAACTAAAACATGATTGATTTTGTACTTAATCATTCATATTTATCTCATGATCACAAAGTGCTTGATAGTAAAGGAAAAATAAGTTTTGATTGGATTGTCCCAATACTTTTAAAGAGCAATATACATCAACAGTGGTGCACTAATGAGAAATTTCAAATATTGTGACTTACCTGTACAATAAGTTAAATACCAGAATAATCTCGATTACCAACTTTTGATAATGGCACAGCTTTCAAATCTATCATCCAATTAAGTCTAACCTGATTGGAGAACACTGATGATAGTCTAAGCCTCAAAAGGGACAGATGAGTTATTCTATAGAATCAAACATATGTGTCAGATGAAGGAAATAAAGGTCATCTTACTTAATTCTTTGTCCACGGCTGCCACAATACAGTTCTTAGGCAGCTCGATCATGGCAGTGACCCCTAAAAATAATATGTAATATATTAGTAAAATATAATAGTAAGACATATGAGACATACCATGTCTTACTGAATGTATCTGTATTAATAGTTTAGATAACCTTATTATTGTTTTCCCAGCTCCAATGGGTTAATTCACCTTCTTCTTATAATTGCAAAATCTAAACCATAAACCTGCATGTCTTAAATTTGTTCAGAACATTTCAACAAAGACTATAGGTGACTAGAGCCAATTTAAAGGCATTCTCGTGATGTTTGGGGGCTGGAGGTTACAATACTCTCCACTAAGAGACTAAGAGATCCACTAACACCGCAGAGTTGCCCATAAGCTCTCATGCTATATTTTACTGTTTAACCTTGGCAAAGATTTCCAGGTGAACTCTTTGCAAAGTATGCCGGCCTTATCATCTTATAGAAGTAGCCACGTGTTTAAGGTCCAAAGTGTAATGTGTTCCAACATAAAAAGAAAGAGCAGATGCTTCCAAAATATTGAATCTAATATGCTCTCTGAATCCCATGACCCACACATAAAGCACATTCCAATTTAATCTCTAATTTTGCAAGATTACCTGCATCCTTATAGCAGTCAGTCTTACACAGAAGTTCAAAATGTTTATTCCAGACACACAGCTCATTCCCTCCAGAAAGCCATACATCAAGTCTTTCCAGAACAAGCAGGCACTATAAAAAGAAATCAGGATATGGAGACAGTGTTAGAATTTTGAACACAATACGGATACTAATATTTATCTAAATGGTATCTAATTACATTTTTTATAACCATCTTCAGATTTGTATATCATTGTAGATCATTCCAAGAAATTCAGACACCCAAAACACAGGACTTGCTCAAGTTTACATGAAACCCATTATCTATAGTATCTTTTTTGGGGGAAAAAAACGTGCTTAGGAGTTTCATCTGTTTCACGGCAGAACAGGCCATGACAGGAATCAGCATTTTAAAAGGATAAGGACTTGCAATGTGTTCCCTGAACAGAATGACTGGTGTGAGGTTTTACTTCTATGGTTGAATCTGATGAGGTCATCAGAAAATGAGTATGATTTCCCCTCCCCTTGTCCAAATGAGAAATCAGTGCAATGCGCACAGAATATGAAGTAATTTTATTCCACTACTCCTGACCACTGGCTTTATTTGACTGACTGTTTGAACAACAAGCTTTGAATCATTTAAAGGCTTTATCAGATTCTGTGTTCCAGTTTTCTTCTTAAGCACGTGTAACAGCTGTACACGGTCTGTAACAACTGTACAATAACATTCGGTGAATACAATTAACATTTGATACTGTAAAGTCTCTCTGCCATCTTTTTGACCAAACTGAATTTGGTCAAGGACACAGAAAGTGCTAATTCCCAGCCGAGTATTCCTGAAGAAGGACTCTCAGGAAGAGGAAGTACAAGCAGCAAGACAGAACAAAAACAAAGCTTTGAATATTTTGGTTTTCTTTGGTAAAAACCAACCACAAACAGGGACAAAAAGCATAAGAAAAGCTGTTAATACATTATGATCTTAAATCATAAGAAGTTAATGTAAAAATATAATTCACACAAGATGACCAAATATGTCAGCTTATGACTTTTAATGCCTTATCTTTAGCAGCATCAAGAAAAAAGCATCGAACTGAAAACAAGATGAACAAGAACAGAACAGAACTCAATCCCTTTGTAAGGGCATTGAAAAGTGACAATGCAGAATCCTGGATGTAGCCCAAATCTGTGTTCCCAAGTGGTCCCAAGTGGTCCTTGCAGTGCGACAGGATGTGAGGTTTGTTGCCTGTACATGTTGTGTGATGCCTGCTGGACAGAAATAAGAATCACGCACCTTCACAGAAGACTGCAGCTCAGAAACCATCTGAACACGATTCCCAGTCTCCGTGTCCCACAGCTACACCAGAAGGTTAAAGAAAACTTTCTGGGAAAAAAAACAGCTAAACAGGGCTGGAAAAAAAATTAAAAATGTCCTTTTTCCCCATATCCAGCTGCTTATTACACCCCTGAACACTACAAATGGTTATTTACTAATATTCCTTAAATCTGACAGGAAATTTTGAAAAATATGGCACAAAGCAGAAACCTGGACTACCAGGTCTTACATTTTCTAACATGCTATATTCAGCCTCCAATCAAGGGCAAAGGTGGCTGATTTCTAGGCATTTGGTGGTAAAAACAAAGCTTAGAGTAAAACCAGTGAGTCTGGAGCTGGCGAGAAGGATACGCTGACGGTTCTGTCTGAAGAGGCCGTGATGATCATGCCGCGGCTGGACTCAGTCCGAAAGGCAGCGATGGCTGTGACCTGCTGTGAGTGAGCTCTTAACTCCCGGAGACGCTCTCCTGTCTGCAATAACACACCAGATGTCAATGGCTTTGGTACACATCACACTGACTAGCCATCCACCCGTCCCCGGGCACGGGAAATGATCCATCCATCCATTTTATAACCGCTGTGTCCAATACAGGGTCACAGGGGAGCTAGAGTCTATCCCTGCAAAAGTCCCTGGATGCGACACCAGTCCATGGCAGAGCACACATTCACACCAGGGCCAATTAACCTACCAGTATGTTTCTGGACTGTGGGAGGAAACCAGAAGACCCCCTGAAAACCCCCGCAAACACAGGGAGAACATACAAACTCCACACAGAGAGCACCCCAGGTCCAGAATTGAACCCAGGGCCCAAACACGGCGAGGCAGCAATGCTAACCACTGCAGCCCCCTGCCTCCCCACAACACAACAAAACAAAACACATGGATTGTTTTCATTCATTTAACGTTTTAAACAGAAACTAAATATTGTTTCTATTTTGTGACTAGCTAAATAATTATATAATTATAATTTGACATTCTAATTTTTGCTGCAGTATCAGATACAAGTTAAAATTTTACTTGTAACTACATGAAGACAAACCTTTTCTCCTTTATTATTAGCGTTTTCAGCACTATATACCTTTGAAAGAGGACTACCAGAACCAGATAGATAAAAATAAAATAATACAGTTATTACTAAAGAACTTTTCATACCTGCTTGAAAAAAGAAAAAATGATCAAGATGTTGTAAACATTTAAAGAAAAAAGGTAAATATGCTACTGTATGTAATATCATTAATATTAAAGATTGTGTACATGAAGTATATTCTTCTGTCAATCAGTCATCAATTCCTACATCTGTATCAAAAGACTCACCTTAACACCTTAATGAATGTTTACTTTCTGAAAGCTACTCTTTAAATAATTAGAAAAACCAATATGGAAAGGTCATATTAAAAAAATCCATGAAGTGCTGAAGAAAGAAAGCAGCCCAAGAGTGCCCTCTGCTGTTGGACATGAAACCACAACATACTGCCCATTGAGAAAAGTTAATCTAATTTCAATATCTTCCCGATTTCTCTACAGAAATATTTGTATAATTGCTCATCTAAAGAGTGCACATACAACATACAATGGATTTGGCGTTATGTGCAGTTTCAAGTATTTTTCAATGGTCGTTTCACAATACAAATGTATTGCAAATATGCAAATGTCAACGATTAACACAATTCTGACTCTTACAACCCACTTGAGTGCAATATGTTTTGTGACGTGTTAGAAATGTTACATATTGTTATGCATTATACATGTGCAATAGAGTGATGTGCAATGTTTTTCTTATTTTCCTTCTTTTTATTGGGTTTGCATTCTATTTAAATGTACAGGAGTGCTGTGTGTCCATTAAAAATTTCCCTCGGGGGACAATAAAATCTTATCTTATCTGTCTTATCTTAATACAAACTGGTGCGGCGTGTTAAATCTAGTTCACTACACCAGTTAATCAGATGGAGGAAGTAATGCCTATTCTTATTTAATAGGGATCACCAACTATTTACACATGGACTGAAGGAAAAGCAATTTCTCTCTAACTCCAAAATATAAAAATAGCATTGCAGTTCCCCTTTTTCCTGAGGAATCCATACAAATAAAATATTGATCATCACCAGAAACGTCTTAGCAAACAACCTGAACATTCCAAACCAGCACAAGTCCATCATCTCCAGCCGATGCAAACCTGCAAAAAAATAAAAATATAAATCACATGTGGTATCTTATTTTATAAATCAGTTATACAGCAAAGGCAGAGTTTGGGTGAAAATAGGTGTTTTTCAGTCATTTCATTATTAGTAGTATCCAGGAAATAAGGCAAATGAGAAAGCTGTAGCAATGATAAACAAGCAACCTATTTGTTTACAATGCAAATTCTTCCAAAAAACAAAAAAAAATAGAGTGTAGTGGCATCAGATTAAAAAATTCAACATCAGTACATGAATGGGCACAGACTGCAGACTTTCTCGGGATGCAATGTGTCACTGAAAGTCAAATGGCATGCTCTCAGCTTTAATCGACTCTCAAAAAGAGCAGATATCCCAGCCTTGCATCTGTGGTGAGGAAGTCTCTCTCTCTCTAATCCCTGCACCAGACAAAATATTGTCTCTTGCTACAAACACTGCAATAGATACAGATCCAGTCTCTAACCTGGTTGTGGAAAGGTACGTTTACGCTTAAATGTAAGCTCAATTGGTGATGAAAAAGAAATGCACACCAGGGAATGAGGCATTGGATGTGCAAATAAGCTGTGATTGATATATCTGACTGTGTGCTACAGAGAAAAGAGGGGGGGGGCTTGATTTGTCAATGCTTTAGGTTAATACCAGCATTACATTTAGTTTGTATAAATGTGAAGGTCTGATTGACGACTAAAAAATCATGTTCTACTTACATAATAAAGAGAATAGAGCAGTGAATGGTAGCTGAAAAAGTGCACATTTTAATATAAGCGTAAAGTTTCTTGCTTTGAAGAGGTTGCAGCTATGTAAATAAAAAGTGCTGGGTAAGTTTTAATATAGAATATAAAAATGTACAATGGAAAGAAAAAGAAATGCAATAAGTAACCAAATGTCTTATTATTCCTTAACTTAAATCTTTCTTACTATAAAAGAAACGTTCAAATGCAAGCCATAATCTCCTCTGTGAGTAAAAACCTAGAATGAACCAACAGAATAAAAATTTACACTTACAGCTAAGCTAACAAGCAATTAATTACTCTTACTGAAGGTTTTGTAAAGTCAAGCATTTCTTAATTTGAGATTCTACCATTTTTTTGGGTACTCTTATAAACTACTAATATGTTTATTAAGCACTAAATCACATACAGACCTAATTCATTTTTATTTCGCAGAAATAATCTTCAGATTACAATGGAAACAGAAGTTTCTGATAAGGAGAAGATATCAAATAAATGCCCTTCTTTTTCCAGTGCATCAGAGAAATACATGCTAAAACAATTGAACAATTTTTAATGCTTACATGCTACTTGCTGACTAGCCTACCAGTTTAAAAAAATACCTTTTAATGATTTAACTGTCAAGTTATTTCTTGTTCTAACATTAATCAAGAAATGTGAAGTACAAAATTATGCCTATGCAGAATTCTGCAGTGTCTAAAATGGAAAGTGAGTCTCATATAACAAAAAATAGATGCTCAAAGAGAAAAATGTTTGAAAAGCTGTAGCATGAAGCCACTTGCTACTTTGACATGAATTAACTGCCTTAACATTCATTACATTAGTCAAAAACTCTGCAATGTATAATCAGCTATTACCTATGTCAACCCATGACAGTTATTAATACTGGAAAATGTGAATCTGAAGGCTTTTTATTGTCTCAGCAAGTCGAGTCAGAAGCTGAATGGCTGGTTTGTCATCATGATTTTTTGTGGGTCACTGGATTCTTTCTCACTTCTGATCAGCATCCTCCACATCCTTGTGCAGTTTCCTGATGAATTTAAGAACAACCGTGCAGGGCTACCAGGGCAGAAAATTTCTTAATATTGTCTTCTGAACTCTCTCTTTATTTGGATGTGTCAATAATGTGAGAGCACACCACAGAGTTCTCTCTCCTGGCCCAGCTTTTAAAAGGACCTGCGCTGAAGCTTAGTGTTGCTCAGTGCCGCTCAGTGCCCTCTGACATCGGCTGGTCCCCTGTGTTATTCCAAAACTCAGTTTCAGGATAGTCAAAAAAAAGGAACTGCCATGGAGGCTGACAAAGGATACATTTTCTGTCTTCAAAACCAATCTAAAAAATTTTCCGCAATCTGGGTTTGGCTGACGCACGGTAAAGACAAGAAAAGCCGTCTGCAAAGCCCTCAATAACAAAGGATTACTGGGAGAGGTGAGGCGTGAAACCTGACTTGCAGCCACCCTTAAAAAAAAACAGTGTTTCTGCAGCAGAGATACTGTATAAAACTCTAGAATTAACTTAAAAAGTCATAACTACCCAGCATGCTGTACACAGCTCTGGCCGCTTCCAAAGAGTGTGAAGGGTTTCATTTTTATTTCTTATTTATTGCGGGTTTTTTGGGTCGCACTAAACTATCGAAAAAATAATTAAGCATTTGTCATGGTCTGTAAATTTCCTCGTGGAAAGTACTTGGCACAGGCTTCCTTGTCAATCACAAGATGTGAGACAGCTCTCCCAAGCCGCGAGAGAACAAAACATAGCAGCTGCTTACCTGAAGTCATCAATCTGCACTAGAAATCGAACTATGTCAAAATGTCCTTTAAGCACCTGGAGCTCCGTGTAAGAATTCTTTGGTTGTTCCTCCCCAATGAACAGCACTGTGGTTTTCTGCAGACACAAGGGGAAAATAAGATGAATGTTTCCGTTATTGCAGACTCACCATCCACCAGACACCAATAGCCAAAGTGTCATTATAAGGACCCAAAACTAAGAATACATAATATATTCATTCGATTTACCCATTGCTATAAACACACTATTCTTGACCGGAAGGGTTAAAATAACTATGATATAGAAAACATCCATCTCTCAGGAGACCTGGGAATTCTCCAGTACTGACTGTTCAGTTTACATTAATAGAAATAAATTAAATAATGAGTAGGGATCACTGCTTTAACAATATGCAGGTAATCTCTGCAGGTAAACTTAATTGAATGCGGCATATAACATTAAAAAAGAAGCATTATTGCAAGATATTCAGAACTTTCAATACATTTATAAGCAGCATATACTCACAAAAGTTTTAATAGTGGAAATAAGAATATCACTTCCAAGTTTGGGACTATGAAAAACAGATCCGTTCATTCCACACTGGCGAAGATGACAGTCCCCATAACTCCCATTGGAACATGCATTCAAGCAGCAACATTCAAAGTACTGTATATGCCAAACCCACTGGAATTGGGCACCATAACTGCCTTTTTCTATATCTGTTCACCACAAGTTTCATTTTCAGTTTCACAAACTCAAAAGAAGTAACGCTAGTCAGCAACTGTGGTCTAATGGATTGCATTTAATGAATCAGAGAAGTGGATTTAGTAGGAATTAGTCAAGGACAACCAACACAATGGTGCTTTCTATCCAATTAGCACACAGGGCGTGATAAATCTGCGACTCTCTCCATCTTTGCACTGCATAGGCAGTGGCAGCTGGGGCTCCATGTTTTATTTTAAAAAACTGATCTCTAAATAACATCTTGGGAAGGAATTGCAGTTCCTCTGAACACCCAGTGGAAAAAATAACACTTCACGTAAATGATACTTGAGGCAGCATTTCTCATTGGATGAGACCCTTCACTTAGAATGAGTGGTCTATTTCATAAAGACTTCAGAAAAACATGAAAGCAGGCCCACCCCCTGGGTCACAAACATCATGCCATAGATCATCATCATGCCTAGCCGAACAACAGCATTGTTGCATTGTTGCATATAAGCACATTTCTGCTTACTTTACTCTGTAATATCAGGAGAATTTCACAGAGTAATTAGACAAAAAAAGTCCATTTAATAGAAAGTAACAACAGCTTAAACACATAATCCTACTTACTAAACTTTAATTATCATTGGCATTTAGCAGTATATTGGTCATATAGTGAACGATACATATTCAGCTAATCTTTTTAATTTGACAGACATTGAAATATGACTGAAAGAGCTCAGCCATATGACACAGACCTTCAACAAGCCTTGTCAAATTTGGTTTTATAACTGATGAGGAAAGCACCAGTTCTATCAATTCAAGTCTAATATTATGCATGTAGAGTACCGTATAACGCTGTGTTCTGAACTGGGAAACACTCTCATCCTAAAGTTTATTGTGGCGCAAAGACAACACTAATATTAAAGGTCAAAGTCAAGTCTGATGATCCAACTGAGGGGATGGCTCATAATACTGGGACATAAAGTTAATGACTGGAATAGTGATTGGCACAGTGTTCAATAGTCCATACGCTGTTTCCACAGTTACACACAAGTTACACGGCTTCTCAGCACCTACTTCTGAAAACTTTAACTGAAGCCTTTATCTAAGGGGATAAAGTTGCAAGTCTAGGAGGAAAATACATTTTAGCGCACCTGCTATGTTATATGTAGGGGACCTGTGTGAAAGAGGCCAGTTTCCTTGGGAGTGACAAATTTCAGATGAGTCTTTGATGAGATGTTTGTTAGGACTCTTCCCTGTCATTATTATGGCTGATAATCTCAGAACCTAATTGTTCCTATGTGTAAAATGCCTCATTACCTGCTGAACAGACAGTGTGGCCAAGGATAAAGGAATAACCTTGAGTGGATGAGGAATGAAAAGGAAAGCAGGTTTCACAGTGATGTGGTGATTAAGGTAGCTGCCTTACAGCTCTTGACGCTCCAGTTGAATTTTGGATGAAGACACCATCTGTGTGGAGTCTGCATGTTCACTGGGGGGATCCAGATTTCTCCAAATTGTTACCCTGCACGTATGTGTGTGGACCCTGTAAGGATGCAGCCTCCTTCAAAAGTACTGGGTCAGCAAAGTCAACAATTTTGTTATATAGTCAAACAATGTGTATTTGTGATTGTGGGATAAATATGAATGATAAGCACAATATAATATCCTTTTGTTTTGGGGGGAGGGATTCCCATCGCACTTTGTGGTTAACGCAGTGAATTTCAGACTGTAAAAGCCAGTTTTGGTGTAGTAAGGATATCGTATGTCACTTTAAGGAAATATCTGCATGACTTCTGCGTTCCATTGAGCTTTATAATATCATTAATGGGGAATATTCTGACTTCAATTTCTTTCCTTACCATGTAGAATACATGCTTAATTCTTAAATTGTCCTCCCAGGGACGAATAAAGTATTTTGAATAGAATTAATTGGACTTAAATCTGTTTTATCAGGTCCAACCTTGAACACTTTTTTAGCCCGGATGAACTCCTTGGTGGCATTAACCATATGAACTTTTTTTTACTTTGTCATGCTGTACAACGAAGCAGCGCTTACTAAATCTGGAAGCAGGCTGTTCTACGCAAGCAGACCTCACGTTTATGCAAACTTCCAAATTCATTCGCCTGCTGACGTCACCCTTACGTCAATAAAGAGAAGTCATCAGGAGACCACGCATGCGCGGACCAATATGGTAATATACCGACCTCTACTGGCCCTTGAGCGTCTCTCCCTCCGAGAATCCATCGTAGCATATCTACTTTCTGTTGGGAAAAAGACAACACTGATTTATCAAGCGTAAATTAATTCCCTATTTAAATCTCTAGTCAATTAGTAATTGTTAACAACAAAAAGATATGGGTAAAATATGCAGTATGTTTTTAATAATTTAACAAAATAAATGTGAGAATATTTTCACATTTCAATTGTGAATTCAGTATCTAAACCCTGCCTTCTAATTAATTATACTTGGGACTAAATACTAAATATTTTCTACATTTTTTTCCGCAACAGTTTTATGAAATTTCACGGCTAACTAAGAACAGTGATTTCCACAAAACTCGAAACAAACAGATATTTTAATCGGGTGTTAAAATGAATACTCTAAGGCACGCAGTATATTAAATGTTCAAAACCTTACATTCTCCAACACATCCTCTGTTTTATTTTCATTTGTCAAAACAAGCCTCTTACCTTCTTCTAAATCAGCGCAGTCAGATGTCTACCCTTACAAAAGGACATTTAACATATAGTAACCTAAAGCTTTACTACGATATGTTTACTTATTTTTAAAACCATTTTATCATCCTTTTGCCATTTAATAAACACTAAACTAAGCTGTTTCCTGTCTTAAGTATTGTTTTGCATGTGACCATGAAAAGTTAACTACGGAAGCCTTTGACGGACAAACAAGCTCTCGGTATAAAGCCGGGATGTAAAATAAGTGCGCTGTTGCTTCTGCAGTCAAAACCTCTGTTAGCACTGCAACTGCAGATTTTGATCTTGAAAAGTGTGTCTTACCTTTTATCGTCAGTTAAACATTGAAATCCCAGGATAGTATAATTTTAGTTTGTCTACCGTGTACAGTATAGACGTACATTTGATTTAATTAAAATGTCATTAAGAAACGAGATCTCTGGACTGGATAATAGGGATTTTAGAAAAGAGCCATGTTATTATATTCTCCTACTTTTTACAGAATAGGCTTTAACGTGATAGATTTTGTCATGTTGTATAGCACATAAATCAAGAAAAGTCCATATCATTTTTTTTAAATATACAATTCTTAATTCTTTGTTCAACAATAGTCATAATGTTATTATAGGTGAATTACATTTGAATTCTAAGCCAAATGTTGTTAAAATTAATCAATATATTTTCAAAGTCATTATAAATGAGTTCGTTAAGTATAATTAATCAGCAGTGTCTGGTTTAAGTTGGCCTCTCACTTCTGTACAACAGTAGCAACAACGGAAGTATAATGAGCAATGTTCTGACTGGGGACTACATAATAATATTAACAGTAGTAAAGAACTGGGTATCCAAACATTTTAAGTTCCTCTTTTTTTTTTTTTGCACTGATCAGCAGGCATATATTGTGACCAACACATAAAAGGTGTTTTTCTTATCTGCAGTGATTTTATTTAAATTCTAAACCAAATTCTAAATTGCTGTCCTGCTAGAATTTTGTGCTTAGTGCATTGTTAAAATTTGTAGACCATTGGTAAATACATCAGCTAAAATTCCTGTAAATACATTTTACAGTAAATACATTTATTTTAGTATGTGTTTTTTTTTTATCTATTGAGGGAACGTTTTTAAGTCGTGATTAAGGCTAAACAAAGCTTTTAGGACTTGTGGTGATTGCAAAGTACACAACAGCACTGTTACTGCCTTGTAACCTGATCTTGTAAGATCTCAGGAGCTAAACAAGTCTGTGTGTGGTCAGTAACTGGAATGGGATGCGAGTCTTCAGAGAAAAAATGGGTTTCTGTGAGGGGTGTTAATGGATGAGTAGGCAGCACCCTTCCCTCTGGACCAAAATTCCAAACCAATGTTTCAGTGAGGCGATCGGGAGCACTCTGCTTCAGAGGTAAACTAAGATCCTGTCTACTTGATCATTGAAGATCCTGTGACACTGTTTGAAAAAATATACAGTGCCTATAGAATCAGACATTTTCTCCCATGCTACTTTTACAGTACACATTTTTACAGCAACATTACATGCATACGGTTTCTATAGAAATTTACATCCCCCTTGGACTTTTTCACATTTTATTGTGTTACAGCATGAAAAGCATGATGTATTTAACTGAGAATTTTTGCCACTCATCAACTCATAAAGTACTCTATAATGTCAAAGCAAAAAAAAAATCCAGACATTTGACTAAATTAATGAAAAATAAAAAAACAGAAAATAATTAAATGCATAAGTATTAAGTACAAAGTATGCTTTGACACACCTACATTTCCTCTGAAGTAACCAACTCTCTTCTCCAAGTCACAGAATTACTTGCCTGGAGTCTACCTGTGTGCAGCTGAGGTGTTTCACATGATTTCAGAATAAACACACCTGTGTTTGGGAGCTTCCAAATGAGTGCTGTACTTTAGTGGGAGATGAAGTGGATCCTATATGTGATGCACTTTGGGATGAAAAGCACAGAATGCAAACAACAATTTTATTATTAGTAGTAGCAGAAGCAGAAATAGTAGTAACAGTAGTAAAAGTAGCATAAAATGTCCAGGACCATAGTCACATACTGTACAGTCACCTTTCCGGCATAAACCCATTACCCCCACTTAGAAAGAGTTTCTGGCTGCCAAAAATAGCAGCATAGAGCTTTTTCTTCAGCCACACCAGCACTACTTTATTTGTCAATGGCAGACACACAATGATACACTGCCATTGTGAGGTGGGTTCATATGCAGTCTGTACAACTGAGCTCCACCCTGACTGACCCCTGAGGTGTTGGGTTTAAGTCGAATGGTCTGAAGGGATCATTAATCTTTTCAGACTCTGTAATTAGCTGTCCCTCCCAGTTTTTGATTGTATGGACAGAGAAAGATTGTTTGTGAGCCGCCATGGATTTTTTTTCTCCTTTTCCTTTACTTTGATTGCTTTTAATTTAAACTAGAATAATGAGAAGCGATGGATTTTATACTTTTTGTGTTAATGACATTTTTAGGCTTTTGGTTGGAGAAGGCCCCAAATTATCATTTGAATCATTTGGTGCTGCTTTAGTATTATTTTTATGCTAGCATTTTGTTCACATGATAAATATGCACATTTAATTTGAATAGTTTTTAAAAGCCAATGAAGATGTTTAATTTCTAATAATATTATCAAGATTAACTGTAGCTGTACTCAGTGAAATGCCTTATGTTCTTGTGCAAACTTGACTCTGATCTAGTTTAAGTCCCATAATCATAAAGAGTCATGTGAATATACTATATGGGTATTTTGTTTAACAGATTACTACAGACAAATGCTGACTTTTAGTATCACATTAATCTTCTGTCTTTTATGTTCATTTCTATACAAATCATATGCAATGAGGTACAGTATGAATTTATAAGACACACTAAAGAAATTGTTGTTGTTTTTTTTGCTAGTCAGCTGCTACATGTTTACACTGAAATAATGATGCCAATACTGGTTTTGATGGGCCAATGTGTCTGCAGGTTTTCCAGGTTTCTTTAAAGCTGCAGCATCTGAACAGCTGGCTATTAAAAAACTGTTATCTGGTACAACTGAGTAAATAATGATCTGATTCAGAATGCTAAGAAAATCTGTAGAAAACCTAGTCCTGGTCAGGACTAGGGTTGGAAGAATCCAGACGAAATATGTATGTACTTTTGGGAACTTTTACACTCGGCACCCATTTGTTCATAATTTCACTTTAAGGTGGTTTCATGCCAACACCCCATTATGCAAGCACACAAGGTGCAAGCAATCAATTGATTGTTCAATCAGTCAGTCTTTTTATATGGTTTAAGCACCCCGCACAACATATTGTCAAAGTTTGTTTAACAGCCTTCCATAACGGTTAACAATTTAATAGTGTAGAACAATAGTTGACTACTGGGCATGAAGGAGAGAAAAACAAAAAAACTCCCAATGGGAGAAAATAGACCTCTGGCAAGCCCAGACCCAACAATTCCTCCTCCTACTCTAGTCAAAGGCTTTGTGGTACATTAATTATAATGGATTGTGAACAGTTTCTGCAAAAACCCAGAGAGCTTTCTGTTCTTTTGTTCTCTACACTGTGATGCTGGAATGAACTTTTTGCTGTTGTTTCAATTCTTGGCCAGAGTCCAGGGTTGCTGTCCTGCCCTCCTGGGTCTGTTGTCAGGGTTGCCTGAGGATTCTTCGGTCATCTTCGGTCATCTTGTCACTCCAGGTTCTGATCTTCCAATTTCACAGGCTTTCAGGACATGCTCACCATCGGATCCCAACCCCAGGATCTATCCAGGAAGTGGAAAAATAGCAGATGATAAAGCGTTTTACGGTAAAGGGATGGTACATCACTCTCTAAGGTGAATTACATCATATAAGGCCCACTGACCATTGGCAGAAATATTGGAATAATAAATAAACCAAGAATCCTTTCTGTCCTGCTTGTTACTTGTGTGTTTTGTGTTATACTGTACTCTATATGGTGAAATTCCAGGGAGTCGGTTGTCCAATACTGCTGTGTTTTGAAATATTTTTTAAATGGTGATTAAACCTATTACACATTGGAACATGTGTGTCTTGAGTTCATCCATCAAAAGAGCTATATTTTTTTGCACTATAAGAACATTGCTTTACTTAAGGAGAGCCATTCATGTCTGCTGATGTTCATAGATTTTAAAATAACAACTATAAAGTCCTTGCTTATTCTTGCATGATGAATAAAACTAAGGGGGATCTTGTAGCTGCTGATGGAAACATAAATTTTACTGTCACTGGCTTTAGCAGTGTTGCTGAAAGTTGTATCTGTCAACTGATGGTAATAGTTTCTAGACTTAAGTTGTGCTTATCATCAGCTTATGTTTGCAATGTTTGTAATCTACTACTTCCTTTTTCTGGAGATAAACAATAGTTCTGAAATCAATCCTCAGGCTTCATGTGCTTCTCTGGGAACTTGTGTACCTCTTTTCCTTCAATTCTAAATACAGAGCAAAACAAGAATCTTTTGCATTGAAATTGCCATTCTGCCAGTTAAAACAGAAATAAAATTAAAAATCCGAAATAGAGCTAAATATCTGTCCATTTTAAAATGTGAGTTCAGAAGTCTCAATAGTACTGGAAATGAATTCCTGATAGACAAGATAGTTCTACAAACACTCTGAGTGCCCTGTTAGTATACTAACACTAAGACCAAAACAAGTGTCTAGCTATGAAGAATGGGTATATTCTCTATCCCTGAACAGGTCAATAGTGTTCTCTGAAACTTTAAACTTTAAGTTTTTTCAGTCTATCCAGAAAGAGAAATCTCTGTGCTTAGACATCATTCCACCGAGAGTTTCTGATAGCAGCCCATTTATACTAAAACTTATTGTAGCCTTGTTCATTCAATGTAATTGTCAAAACTAGAAATCTTTTTTTGAACAGAGAAATTTGTGAACCTTGACAGAGAACTGAATTTTGGGAGGACAAAATCATATTTATTTGTCAAACATCTCAATTATAATTATTATTTCCAGGATTCTGTAAATTATCATCTGAATAATGCTTTAAATCAATGGCTTCAATTATGAATTCTGACTGAACATGACAACAATAACATCTGAATGTCACTAACAGTCTAACAGTTATCATTAACAACCCCAGATACAGAAAGAGTGCTGATTTTATTTAATATTATTTTAAATTGTGACTGTTTTCCTGAAGACAAA